GATCAAGCCTGGTTTATAGTTTACGTATTGGCTGCTTTTGACTGTGCCGGAGATTGTGTTTAAAGCTGTGATGTTGCCTGGTTTGCCCTAGTTTAGAACTGTTGTGCCAACTGGTTTCAGAGTGGATTTCAAAAGCCACATTTCAAAGCAGTAACATCGTTTGGTCTTGGCACTTTGATTCTGACTGATTTTAGAGCTATGATGTTGAGTTTCTTCTTTGATAATGAAATTCGGACTAGTTTTAGCGCTGAGCTGCTAACTAACTGAAAGCTGTGATGCAGTGTAAAAGCAGTGTGGACATTGGTTAAGAAGGTCCGATCTCAGATTGACTGATGACTATAGTGGCAGAGGTTCAAAACAGCTAGATAATGGGACTAACACACACAGAAAGACCACTAAATCACTGTAAAATAAATACTGTGATTATAACAGTAAAAGACTGTAGAAATTCTATAATAAAAACCTGGTTAACGGTAAGTTCCCCTACTATATACGGTGAACAACTGTATTGGACATTGCATTTAATTTTACGGCAGTATGCAATTTTTGGAAGTGAAAAAGAATGTCAAATTTACAGTGAATAATCGTAACTTGACTTCCAGAATTCCTTGTTACATTTCGCATTTGATGTTTTCCATTTAAATAACTGTTTATTCTTAGTTTTTCTTATCAGTTGTGCACATTAGGGTTGCATGTTTCATCTAATGTTGTTAAATTAATGTTTATTGGATTATTTCAGTTGCATGTGTATTACCATGATGGTGTTTAGTGTTTGTGTGAATGACACTGTGCACCTTCTGTATATGTTAGTATTTAAAAACATTTTGTGATGAGGTTGGGTTCATTGTGTGACTTTCTCACTCCCTGCTTTTGGTGGTTATCAGTGTATTAAAAAGGTACAAAACAGATTTAATTACTTCCATAAGTTGGTATATTAACATCATATCAGTTACAAATTACGGTTTTTAAATGTAAATTTAAGTTAAATCCGTAAAACCTCAAATGTTGCTACCAAAACCACAGCTGCCAGTTTTTTTACCGTAAATTTTACGGATTTTTTTAGCAGTGTGCCACTGTAAGCTACATAATAACAAAGCTGCACAACAAGCTGTGACACAACACCAATCAATCACCATTAAGGGAATAAGCGAATCACTGCACTGACTTCAGATTTGAATACAAAAAGGGAAACAGTAGGCTTCATATAGGGGACAGGTAGGACAAGCTACACAAAATCGCATTCAAAATCGCAGGCGATTCATTGCCGATTTTGAAAACGATTTTGTGTAGCTTGTCAGTGAACTACGGCTCTGTGTAGTAAATGCCGCTCCATCTGAACGCACGTGCTGGAGATTTACTACTAATCACCAGAAGCGGCTTTACTGACGAGATGCGCATGAAAATCGCATTCGATTTTTTGCACAGCCCTAGATGGAGCTAGACTTTAATTTACATTGCCCACATGAGAGCCACAGAGCAGCATGCTAACAGCAAGGCCACAAATCTGACCCCCACCTCTTTTTGAACAAGAACTTATAGTGTAATTTACTAATAGCACAAAACCTATGCAAACCAGACTGGAAAATGTAATAGGCAGTGCTACATAAAGTCTTGTGTGTGAAGGCCAGTTAACACGGCACAACACAAACACACTCATCAAACAGATTCCTGACTCAGACTCCCCGCTGTCCATGCCATCTGAACCACATTTACAACACAGACACACACAACTGTCCGAACTTAAGCACAGCTGCTATAAATAACTGACTCTCCAGGTAGCCTCTATTAGTCCCCGTATTATCATCCTGCATTTATGAGTTAGGTTTATGCTTTCTTCATGCTTAGGGAGTGAGGTAATTCACTGAATTCCACTCAGTGGCTTATCTCAATAAGAAAAATCTAAATTAAGAAAAGTAGATTGTTTAACTTAATAACTTGTGATGAGCTGGTTTTAAAAGATGTGTATTATATAGTATCAGCGTTATTCTAAAGCACCACTAAAGACCAGGAAAAAGTGGTGGCTACATTAAAACTCCAGAAACATTAAGAAAACAAATGAATAAAGTAAAAAAAACAACAACAACATGTTTTCAATAAAGACTCCACACACTGATCCAATAAATATCTCTCAACGGAATAATAAAAATAACATCTTCAAATAGTTCACTTTCTATCAAATCAAAATCAAAAGGGGAGAGCTAACAAAGGGATGCAAAACCTCTTTCCCACTAAACCAGCCTCAAATTTCATCACTACATAAAATATTAAAGGGGTCATATGATGCGATTTCAAGTTTTCCTTTCTCTTTGGAGTGTTACAAGCTGATTGTGCATAGATAAGCTGTCAGCTGGCCAATCAGAGCAGACTGCGCTTGTCGGAAGGAGGGACTTTGTAGAAAACTAAGCGTTTGAGAGAGGCGGGGCATATAGGACCTACAATAATGTACAGTATTTGAAAAATAATGTGTTTTTTGAACATTAAAGCATGTCAACATATTCTGTTACACCAAATACACAAAATAATGATCTTTAAAAAAGCATCATATGACCCCTTTAAATTGTCTCAGAGATGCTTTATGTCAAAACAAAATGAGTATTTACAAATAAATATTTATGGCAATACCTTCTATCATTCTTTCATTCTCACAACGCTCCATTAACCACACACCATTCAGTTATTCAAAACTGTTCAAATGTTTGAATTCGTTCAGCAGGGATCCTTTCCCAGCCTGGCCAAATCACTTCACACCAACTGGAAAAACACACACGCACACACACACACTCCTCAGTACTGCTATTGTTTCTTAAACTCCTCATTAGTACATCAGAGGGAAAACAATCAGGTTGTGTTAAAACAAACCCTGCTTCAGATTATCATATTTAAGTAATGAAGGCAATGTTAAAAGAGAAAAGTGAAAACTTTATGACTTTATAATGTTGAATAAATATAAAACAGGTAACTCAATGAAGTCATTTCAGACTTTGTGACTGTTGTTCAGTGCATTATGATTTCTTCAGCTACAATAAAACCTCCTTCTCACAGCAGAGAGTGAAAAAAGTAATAAACTTCAAACTGTGTGAACTTTGAACCAGGCAAGAACTATGTGTTCCATGCTCCTTAAACTTATTTTCTCCCCTTCACACCACAAGATCTAAAATCCACACCAATGTGGTTACAATTTCTTTGCTTGCAGTGCAGTACTATGCATCTTGCATGCTAAATAAACGTTTATTACCACTACTTTCTTAGAGAGTTAGAAAAGAAATGCAGCATTTCTCCAGCAACACTCCGGACTCTGAAAGTTTAAGAGCGTCAGGTTTGTGTTTGGATGTCCACATATGAGGATTGGGTTTAAGAAGTTGTGGCTGCATTCTCCTGCTGGTTGAGATGGCACTTTAATAGCAGCCTTATGGATTTCCTTTCGCTTTTTCTGTCACTCTCAGCGTCTCTCCAACCCTCAAAAAAGTCTTTTGAGACTCTGCAACAGCCCTTGACCAAAAGAGGCTTACTCTGAGGTATTTCCAGAGGATTTCTCCTCTCCTAAACGACAGTGCTCTTATGTGTTTACTAGGATGCCAAATCTGAGACAGACTGGCCCTCCCTCCACCCCTTTCTCGACTTCACAATACAGCGCTGTCACCATGCCTGTCAGCCTGCAATGCTTTCAACCCGCCGTGATCTATTACCTACAGAGAGAACTTGCATCTGTTCCTAGCCCTCACACAGTTCTTCCCACCACGTTCAAATAAACCATTTACCCATGTGAGCCGCCAGTGAAAAAGTTGACGCGCCTTTTGTCTAAACATGACTGCTAAAACATTCTCCTTGTTGGGCAAATTCAAGATAGAAACGCATAACTTTTTGCATGCAAAAAGAAAGGCGATAAAAATCCAAATATATGATTTCAAATACATATGCCGCCTTTAAGAGACCAAACCTACAGTGATATTTCCTCTCAAAATGATGTGCCTGTCAGAAATAAACAGCCTGAACCTGTCTGGAAACCTGACTTTTCCTCTTCCTATCATTCAAAGGAATAACAACACAAAACCTCCTCCTCTGGCTTCAAAGGCAGCAGCTGAAACCGTGGAGAGCGTTTTAACAGACATCATTAAAGGGAAACGTGTATGCAGAGAGTGTTTCTCCTTTAATCACTTCTGGTAATAAGGCCTTTGGCTTTTATAGTTGGGCTCAAACTACAGAGTGTTTCCAGAGATTATGCTATTGTTCTTGGTGACGTCACAAAACGATGGCACGATCGTTTTCAAAGCGCGTGAATTGGGTGGTCTGGAAGCGCGTGTGGCCTTTAGAAGCATGCAACGATCATTCTGCAACGCGAATATCACTTATATACGCTTTTACCATCTATAACCCAATAAGGGTAGTTGACTTAACTTTTTTTTATTCAACATGGACTTTAAAATGTACGCATGCGTAAAGAAATGTATGTTTTCTAACGCCTAAACATTTATTTCGAGTTTATCACCATTGTAAATCACATTTTTGACTTCACTAGATCATTTTTAAACAGTTATGTGATGCAACAACTGGATTCTGAAATTTATATTCAATTTATTCTCAGTTAATATGAGGTCATAAAATCCCACGTATATAATTACAGAAAAATGTGTTTAAAATAGTTTTAGATCACTTACAGCGCGTCACATCGCTGACACTGCTTGATATTTCATGTCAACTACCCAAGAACTGAATTCATGCAGAATAACGGAAAGAAAAGAGTTGTATTGCAGTTTGTAAAAAATGTTTATCACAACAAAACAAAGTTTTTGATCAGTTGAAATGCAAGCTTTAAAGAGCTCCATGCATGCACCCCTTACTTCAAATTGCGCAACATTTCTCCAGTCAATAATAACTTAACACCCAAACAGTTGATTCATTCCTACAGTCTTGGAATGGACAAGTTCACTTTCTCAAAGTCCAAAATCTTCACACATTTAACATGCACGTGTGATAAAAAGTCATTAAAAGCGTTCACGTACCCGTGGAGACAGTCCGCAGGTATTTTTCTGCTGGGAGTCCTGCTGATCTACACGAGAGCTCGGGCAGTAATACTTCTGCTTAACCATCCAGTCATCCAGTCCTCTCCTCGCCAAACACGCGTTAACTACAAAACTATCGCCTAAAAGAGCAAGAAAATACCATTTATACATAATACCATTGTGTATTTATCAGTTAAACAGCTTTCAAGTTTGTTTCTAGCGTTTTTCTTTTTGTTTACGCCAAATGTTCAAAGATGCAGCTTTGTTTTATTAGTCATTTAGCCAGTTCACCTGTTTCAAATAATAACAAATATTATTAATATATTATTATTACAAATAATAACAAATATTATTATTTGTATAACAAATAAAGTTACTCACCTTCAGGACTCTCCCTCGCTTTACAAATAGCAGCTTTAAAAAAGAAAAAGACGTCGTATAAATGGATTACTCGAAAGAACTATATCACAAGCGCTTTCGAATCAAAGACTTGCTCTACAACACCAAAGAGATGCCGTCTTACCATGTTTGGAATGAAGTTTACCCATTTCTCTGCATCGGAGAGCAAGTGAGAAACATCAGAAATGAAAAACAATCCAGCAAGAGTGCGATATTTGTGAGCGTCCGTGAAGAACAGCGCGGGGTCCGTATCCAGCAGCGGTGGAGGATCGAGTGATCTGCGGCTCCAGCGGACCAGACGCGAGGCGCTGCAGCCACTCAGCGAGCGTGATTGACGCCTCGCGCAGGCCGCCTCTCCTTTAGTCTGATTGGACCGAGGCGGCACATGAAATGGAAGCGGGACTCTTTTGGAGTCTCCAAATATAAAAAGAGCAGCGCAAAGCCCCCCGTGGGCGCCAGGAGCAGGACGTCAGCTAAACACGTCCAGCCGAGCGGACACCAATCGCTGCTTTGGACAAGAGCTGAATAACATTAAAGTGTGAAAAACGCTTGTCTGGATAAACTGTAAACTGAAAATTTCATCTATAATGAACATTTTTATCAGGCTCCTTTAGGTTCAGTAATTTTACTCTAATGGCAATGTATAGGTCCTTTTCTATGCAATTATAGTGAAATAACTGAACATAAATATAGGAGCCTGATAAAATGCATTTTAGAAGAAAATTTCAGACTGCACTTAGAGGCTTTTGCATCTGAACTCTTCATATCTATCTATCTATCTATCTATCTATCACTAACAATGCTTTATTGACAGTATTGTTAACAATTACAATATTGCCAAAGCAAATAAGGTAGGCCACTTGCAGCGCCAAAATTATGAACACCAAAGAAAATAGATGTGTTTGTTAAAATAAATAAAAAAAATGTATTAAAATTAAAAGTAAATAAAGAAATGTAGCTGATATATGACATTTAAAGACCATTTAAGACGAATAAAAAACCTACATCAAATTTAGCTCCCCCAATCCCTTATCCTGAGAATTTCTTTCTCTACAGTGCATTAAGAAGCCACAGCTTGACACAAGAACATACAGGTTATACCAGTCAAAATCAGCAGCATAAGGTGCTTTCTTTCTCTGTGCACAGTGTTCTGCAGTCTGTATTTGTGGTGCAGCTCATGATGCTTTTGGGAAACCCATTACTTGGATTCCAACTTGTCAGTTGGCATAATTTAAAATGATGCAGTGAAATATTCATGAAAAACATATCCTGCAATTCTGTATCTATACAAAAAACTTCACTTCACAGCCAGTGAAGATGCAGACAACTGGCCATAAGCAAGCAAAGTGTGATGTAAATCAAGCACTGATATTAGGTGCCAAACATAAACAAACAAGTCAACTGAACTCCTTAAAATCTTTCTAATGAAAGCTGAATGAGGTTTGAGAGAGTTCCGAAGAAAGACATTCCAGTGCATCACTCTCTACTCTTCAAGAAGAACCTTTTCCAAGACAAGTCGTGCGTGTCCGTGGTCTTGGAAAAACCCATGCGCGTACAAACAAACATGCATATGCCAGAGTGGGGCATCAATGCCACAGCAGATTTCACATCCTGCCTGTCAAAGCAAAGGATTCTGGCTGGCTTTGAACCTCCCAGACACACACGCACATATACACGCACAGAGATGAGCATGTTATTATACCCTGCATACACATATTTTCTCTCTCTCTCTCTTGCTCACACACTAACACACACGCAAGGGCTGGGAACCAGCCGGCTAGTCGCTTTGACACACTTCCTGTGCTTTGAAGCGGGCAGTTGAGAGATGGCTTTTCCCATCATCACCTTTGAAGCCTGCGTGAGGAGGAGGCTGTGTGTGTACATGGTATGGGGGAAGGGAGGTACTGACATTAATTCATTGTAATGGCTCATCAGTTGCTTTTACTTTGCGAAACGATTAAAGCAGCATGCAGAAAGTTTTTGTCTTTATCTAATCAAATAAATGATTTAATCTCATCACACATCCTGTGGTTCTTCTCATGTTGTCCCTGCAGTTAAACTGTTACATTCCAAAATGTCCTTGGAATGATACATAATATTTTAGCATTTTAAATCACCTGTAAACATTTTAGCAGATAGACAGACAGCAAGAAGAGTACAAGGCCAGCAGCTGTGGGGTGTTCAGTGGATATGTGACCGTTGCTTTTTTCTTGCAGGACAAAAGAGTGCTGGGTGTGTGAGAGGGCAGAGGGCAACAGTCCTGCAGTACAGTGCAGAGTCCTGGGACGGCTGCAGAATGGGGCTTTGTAAAGACCCAGCATGCTGTGTGTCAGAAGAGGGGGGTCTGGAACAGTTGTGTGTGTTGGGGGAGGGTGGTGAGAGACAGCAGGCTGGCATGTGTGTAGTGTGTATGCCCGCTAGATTAGCACCATGACCCCGTTGTGCAATGAGTGCAGACAGAGTCAAAGACAGGCTTCTCACGTGATGGGTAAAACAAGCCACCCTGTGTACTGCAGAATATAATTTACTTTAGAATGTAAAAAATAAAAAAACATTTATTTACTCTCATGTCATTCCAAACCTACATTTTTCCATATATTGTAAGCCAGTGGGATCTAAAACAGCACTGTTAACCCCATAACCTTTATTATATCATTATATAGGGGGAAAAAACTGAGACATTTTTCAAAATATCTTCTTTTGTCTTCCACTGAAGTAAAATTGGAACGACATGACAATGTCGACAATGCTTACTTTGAGGTGAATTATCCCTTTAAGAAAGTTTACATAAACCTAATTGTCCTATCAGACTTTATTAAAATTGCTTAAAAGACAAATAATTAAAGATGCATTGAAGCCCAACATAGTGTACGCTGTGCTCTAGGAGTAAAGCATCTTACTGGATAAGCTTTTTTAAAGGTTCATCCTGTAATTAAAAGGATGCTGATGTAGTGTTTTATCTTAAGGGCTCCTGGTGTAAAAAGGAGAAACTGTGGTGTCCCACTTAAGAATGCCGTTTTATCTGATGAGGCACACACAAACATCCGGATGCATACACATACTCAAACACATGTAGGGTTTCTCATAATCAGGCATCAGAGCTGAGAGTGTTTAACACAAGACATTAACTCTGGTTATAATGCAGATGCATTTATATGAATATAAGTTCGATTTTAGTTGGACTAAAGCAATAACTCGACTTTTTAACATGCAAACTCTTTAGTCTGACTGAAATTGTATTGTGAGTGTTGGTTTTTGTGAAGTGGGACTAACAGATAATGCGATTGTAACTTGGCTTCATCCAGCATGTATACACATTAATCGGACTATACAGTTGGCATTTGAGAATGTCTCCTTCATGGTTATCAGTGGCCTTTTGGTTATTATAGGTCACAGAGACACTCAACACTGTGTGCTTTGTGTGGACAAAGTAAATATTACTCTGTCATACTGATCTAAGACCAGTTTTGCAGCCTAGAATCCTTTTTTAAGCATTACTAGGAAAATCACGAATTCGATCACTGGGCAGTGCAAAAGTAAAACTTCTTCCAAAGTGGTTATCTGAGTGTGTGTCCCCTCTCTGTGCTATCTGTGCCCTGCACTGGCTGGTTTTGAAGCAGTTGGGGGTTTTGCCCCATCCAAAATGAGGACACAATTAGAGCGCTGAGCAGAGAACAGTGGGGATCCCTCTTTGAAGTGTGGATCAAATAGAAGAGCCGCATGGTTTTGTTCAGAATGACAGAGCAGGCAAACTCACAACAGCCCGGCTAATAGAGAGAGCGCTTTATGATGCTCGTTAATTATCCTTTCTGTCACAGGCCATAGAGAGAAAGAGAGAAAGGAGAAAGGAAGGAAGAGAAGTACAGAGTATGAAAGAAAGCTACTGTAATGGCATAGTGGGTGGATGTAGGTGAGTGGTAGACTGCATGCGGGGAACACTGAGACAGCTGGAGGGAAATTGCATGTGGTGAATAGGAGAAAGACAGACATGATGATGAAATAAATGTTGGTTAGTATGAGTTTAAATAGAGTTTGGTGGTTATTTTGAATGGAGCAGATGGTCAGAGAGGGAAAACCAGAAATAAGGACAACAACAACGAAGCAAAAGTGGAGGGAAGAAACAAAGCAAAGAGAAAGGGAAGCTAGAAATAAACAGTTTCCTGAGATAAGAGGTCCCACCAAGACAAATCGAGGCTTTAAAGTGTGAGACGCTCCCTGGGGGCCGCTGCACTGTAAACCTTTAACCATGGCTTCAGAGACAGATCCTGCACCTGATCCAAACACCGGCCATCCTAAAGCATCCTCCCTTCTCGCTCTCTCTCTCTCTCTCTCTCTGAGCTTATTCTTCCATGAAGTGACATGAATCCTTCCACGTAGCTTAAAAGTGAATAAAACATTGAGATCGGCACAAAAGCCAATATCCATAATGAGAACATTCGAAAAATCCACAGCACTCAAAGTCAGACAGAAACACAAACTGCTAAAATGCTAAGAAAATGTTTGGTTTATACTGATCTGAAAATAGCAGAAATGAACCAGATTACTCTTATGTCTTCATCCTAGTATTAAACTAATAGTACATAGTACAGTACATAATTTTCGTCATCAGCACAGTCTGCTGATGTCTGCGCACACAGTCTGCACAGAAAAGTATACCCGGGCCTTGAGAGTTATTATGAAAGCCTAAACATGTCTATTGTGATCAAAGGTTTGTGTAATACTGTGAGCAGTCTGATGGTTTATTTGAAGTCCAATATTTGACCTTTAACCTTTTACTACATTGAAGGCATTGTGTGGAAGAGACTGTTGTTCTCAGAGGAGTCAAATGGAGGTGCAGATGGCAGTCAACCCTAGATATACGAAGAAAGAGAGGGAGGGTGATAATATATCCATGTGTACTGTACTTCATGGAAAACTGCATATTGTGTGTGTGTGTGTGTGTGTGTGTGTGTGTGTGTGTGTGTGTGTGTGTGTGTGTGTGTGTGTGTGAGAGAGTCAGGTATACAATACATTATGGGGACAAAACGTCCCAACAAAGATGGAAATATCCAAAATCCTTTTTTGGTCCCTATGTGGAAAACAAGCTTATAAATCATACAGAATTAAGTTTTTTGAAAATCTAAAAATGTCAGTAGTTTTCTGTGAAGGGTAGGTTCAGGGTAAGGTGATAGAAAATAGTTTGTATAGTGTAAAAACCATTACATCTATGGAATGTCCCCATAAAACATGGAAACCCAGTGTGTGTGTACTGGTATCATACAGTACGTTATGTGGACCGAATGTCCCCACAAGTATAGTAATACCAGTAAATTTTGATCTAATGGGGACATTTTTTGGTCCCCATGAGGAAACAAGCTTATAAATCATACAGAATGAAGATTTTTGAAAATCTAAAACTCTATTTTTGAAAATCTAAATTTCTGTGAGGGGTAGGGGTAAAGCCTGTGTTATACTTTCCGCGTGAGCAATCCGGACGCGGACTACTTGTATTTATACTACCAAAAGCGCGTACGTGTCCGCCCGGTCACAAAAAATGGGAGGCACGCGGATGTCCGCGCAGAGCCTCCGCGCACACTCTCCGATGACGCTTTTAGGGTAAGGGGATAGAAAATACAGTTCGTACATTAGAAAAACCATTATGTCTATGGAATGTCCCGACAAAAAAAAAATCTAAACCAATGTGTCTGTGTGTGTGTGTGTGTGTGTGTGTGTGTGTGTGTGTGTGTTGAATGTCCTTATAATGAGCTTACTATAGCATGAAAAGCAAACAGAAGAAAAGAGAAACAGATTTAAGTGAAATATTCTGACAAACTCCCACAGACACAAACCACTGAACTCCTAAATTTGATTTAAAATAAAGCATGTAATAAATTCTAAACAAATTATCTTGAATTTATGTCAATTATCTTATAATCAATGCACAAATTCAACAAAACTAAGTACAAAGAGACATTTTGAGCTCTTTGTAATCTTAACATGGTAATCTTGGCAGCATTGTGGCTTTAACTTGTTATATGAACCATATTCGGAATAAAAAGCTCATGTACAAGATACAGTTCTTGCCTAGAACTGAAAGCCTATTTCTGCAGGCGTAAGACCACTACAAGCAACAATGTTAAACATATGCTTAAAAATACAATTTCTACCTTTTTTTTCTCATGTTGGTTCAATGCAGGACATGGGCTGTGGCTCAGTTGTTTCTGACTCAAAAACATTAACGCTTCATTACTGTAAGTCTTTATGAGTTTTTTAAGACATAAAATGTTTAAATTACAGCACATAATATTGTAAACAACGCTAATAACAATTTTGGTGGCTTGAAACAAATTTGTAAAGTTTTAAGCATACTACCAAGACCTCTATTCACTGTCTTCATGTAAAAATTCAAATTCAAAGACAAATAATACTGGAAGATTGACACAAAATGGAACATTTGGTCACTGAAAACTAAGTAAGGGATTATATACAGTATCCACCTTTTTCTTGCCGTAAAAATGGGCACGGCCATTTGTAAATTCTAGGGTCTGGCTTCTGGTCTCATCTGCATCCAGCTATTTTTAGCTGAACAAAACAGTTCATTTTGCTGCATGATATTGAAAATTGGTGTGTCTTACCATATTATTTTAATGTATTATCTTAATTATGAACACACTGGTTTGTAGTGCAAACAGTTTTACCATTTACTCCACATTGTTATTCTTCTCGTTATTTACTTATAGCGGCTAATGAACCGGAAGTCTCTCCCATAGGCTTACTTCTGCATTGAAGAAAAAGATGGATAGCAAATTATGATAAAATAGCCTAATAATTTTGTGATAATGACTAGCTGCTAAAACAATCCCACTTATATTTAGCAAAATATGAAAATAAAATATTGATTTGAGTTTGAGGTAAGACAAAAGAGATCATGGAGTGACAAGAGAAACTAGCAAAAATGTAGGAAATTGGTAGCATGAAAACAGCCTAAGATTTTTTTTTCAAATCACAATGAAACTGAAGGGTCGATACAGTTGCATACACTTAGTTTTGTGTGTGTGTGTGTTGATCCAGGACCTTGTCCTCTGCAAGAGGAAGTCACAATTTCCTCTAGGATTTAATCAAAACGCCTGGCAGGATCTCTCACCTCTACCCAGAATCCCTGCACCGCCTGACACATTCAGCAGATGTGTGTGTTCCTTTGCTTGCGTGCGGACTCACCTTCCCTTTTCATAAACCACTTGACTATTTGTGTGACTGTCTGTGAGTGTGTACGTGCACATGCTGTACTGTCATGGCCTTCCATTGGCCTTCTGTGAGTGTTCAGAAGACCTTGAGGAAGAAAAACATGCTTCAGTCTCACGCACTAGCCAGCCTGGGCTGTACACTCTCTGCCATACTCCACTGAATACATGGGCACATTCAGCTCTTCTACTTTAAATAGCATTGTAGAGAAGTTATAGAGGAGTATAGAGAAGCTTTTTTTTAGAACAAACTCTTCCCAATTTGTGTATAATTTTTGCGTTACCTTTTCACCAATATACCCAGACGTTTAACATTAAACCGCTAAACCTTGACCCATCACATATCAAAACAGGAAACATTGTTTAATTTTACTGTTATGCTGGGGTTTATTATTTAAAGTTCTGTATGCATCAGAGAGAAAGTGAACATTAATTGTAAAAAAAAAAAACATTAATAAATTAAACTACAGTTATTTTTTAAAGATGTTTATTATGCGTACCAAGGCTGCATTTATTCAATAAAAAAGACAGTAAAAACAATAGTATTGTAAAATATCATTACATATAAGTATTTTCTATCTTAATATATTTTAACATTTTATTTATTCCTCTGCCGGCAAAAGTGAATTTTCAGAAGTGATTACATTCAGTGTCAGATGATGCTTAAGTAATATTTTTTTGTTAACATTGTTGAAAAATGTTGTGCTGCTTAACATTTTTGTGGCATCCATGATAATGTTTTATAGAACAGATGTTCAAAAGAACACAATTTATTTAATTTACAAATATTTTGTAACATTAGATATGTCAAATTTTTTAAAAATCAGTTTAATGCACCCTTTTTCAATAAAAGCATTCATATCTTTCATTAACAAAAAAATTAAACTGATCCTAAACTTTGAACAGTATTGTACGTTGTCACTGTAGCAATTTAGGTATATTTATTTCTCTTATTTAGTTTTCTAAAGTGACCCATAATCAATAGATGTATTAAACGGGTCTCTGCTGGAACACGTTTTTGAATGAAATGGTGATTTTGATAGCTCTTCTTTTGTCTGGCCATGAAGAGAAAGCATGTGCACAGCTGCCCAGGGTTCTCTCTAAAGCTGGCAGGCATTTAAACAAGGCAACAACAACAGGGATGAGAGGAAGTTCCTAATTTTAACCTAGAACATAATGTTAAAGGAATTGTCAATCATCTTTGACGATAGTGGTCCTGACAGAAATGAAACAGATCAATTTGGCAAATTTGTAAGAGTAATAGAAACAATAGAAATAAAATCACAAGGAACAAGCCAGTTTAAAATGTGGAAGGCTGAAAGTATTATTTTTAATATCGGTCCCTCTTTATATTAGGTGGCCTTAACTACTATGTACTTACATTTAAATTAATAATTTGGTACAATGCAGTTATTGTGTACATATATGTTTTTTACATTGTACTTATATTTTTAAAAAATACCTGCATGTAATTACATCTGTAATTAATTTCTGTAATTAATTTTATATACTGTTTATATTTTATACTGTTTACATTTATACACATTTTTACAGTGTTGACCCATCCCTTACACCTTAACCCACCCTTAAACCTACCATACCACCAATCCTGTCCCTAACCTTATCTGTATCCCACCTCAATAGCATCAGACGTGTTTTGCGATACAATATGAACACAATAAGTACATTGTACTTATTTTTGATGCAAGTACATAATAGTTAAGGCCACCTAATATAAAGTGGGACCATAATATCATTCATAAATCTGTTCTGCTCAAATACATAAAAAGAAGCACCTATGTGAGAAAAAGCAATCTTATTCTCTCAGTTTTCAGTTTCAAAGTTCTTTATTGGCTTGCACATCAGTTGCAATATTTCCAAAGGAACAATGACAACAACAAAAAAACAAAATTTAATGGGTGCTTGTTTCTAATGGTGCAATATTTGAAAACAAATTTTGCTGAACTGGTTACGTGATTTTCCTCCACCAATATAATTTGCATTTGTTCAGCTTCAGACAGAACATGAAAGATATTCTAAACCAGATACTCTCTCATTCTCTATAAAGGCTCTGAGGATAGCTCGCTCATACACACAGGGTTCACTGACCCTTGAAGGAAAGGTCACCGTGTGATGCCCTGATGTTCAGCATGGCCACACCCAACTGAGCGATCCTCCAGGACACACACACACATATTCCCTGAAGCATTCTCACAATACATTCACAAGAGAAGAGAAGAGAAGAGAAGAGAAGAGAAGAGAAGAGAAGAGAAGAGAAGAGAAGAGAAGAGAAGAGAAGAGAAGAGAAGAGAAGAGAAGAGAAGAGAAGAGAAGAGAAGAGAAGAGAAGAGAAGAGAAGAGAAGAGAAGAGAAGAGAAGAGAAGAGAAGAGAAGAGAAGAGAAGAGAAGAGAAGAGAAGAGAAGAGAAGAGAAGAGAAGAGAAGAGAAGAGAAGAGAAGAGAAGAGAAGAGAAGAGAATTTCTCATCCAGGAGGATGCTGGCTAATTGATTGATTGATTTGGTTTTCCTATGTGATGATCCACTTACAGTGAAATGGCATGGTGTTTATAGCGAGTGAGAGGGCAGGAGGGATGCATGAGAGAGTGCGTGTGAATGGAGGGGAGGAGGTGTGGGAGGACTCCACTTGAAGGGCCTGATGATGTCATCTGAACCCGAGCATCAGGCTGGTGTTGTGTTGCCCCTTCAAGGCCTGGGAAAATGCTCCTCGGAGTGCGACAGCGTCTGTGTGTGTGTGTGTGTGTGTGTGTGTGTTAGATCATGTGTTTGTTAGAGTGTGTGTGCCTGCACTAAGGGAAAACAAAGCCTGAACAAAGAAACAATGCCATTCAATGTATTCCCTGAAAACGAGAGAGGGAGAGAGAGGGGAAGAGAAAGGAATGTGGGAAGGATGGAGAGGGAAAATGAGGCACGGATGGGTGTTTATTGAGATGTTGGGAACTGGTTGTTCTTTCATACAGATGTTGGTTTATTATTAAATGCTCCAAAAAATTAATACCAGACCAAAAATGTAAATCCGGCATGCTTGGGATGACTTCATGAAATGTGAAATAATGAGCGAGTCTGTATTTCACAGGGTTTCACATGTAAAAGAGGAGGGGGTGAGGTCTGAGCTTTCCGGATGTAGACGTGATGCTAACCAGCCATGTTCTACCATAAAGAGAGCTTGAGTATGTGTGTGTGTCTGAAGCTTTTCTCCTTCATGTCTCAGTTGTGTGTAGGAGAACATCTGGAGAATGTATGGGCCTCCTCTGTTAGGCCTGATTTTTCCTTCTTTCTTACTGTCTCTCTTTTTCTCTTTCCAATGATCACTCCACTTCAGTCCTTCTCTTACTGCTGTTTATCAGACAGAACAGAAACACCAATGAAAATAATGAACATCTAGTTCAAACACACACACACAATACTCTTAAGCAGAAATGATAATTGGCATCAAAGCTGACTTTGATATGATGATGTATAATGAGATTGAAATGTTCCTGAATCGACACAACATTGTTGGTATTGGCACAACATTTTTAAGTAGTTAGATTTTAGGTTTAGGTTAGGATAGTCTTAGAGTTTTGAATACTTTCATCAACCTTTTATGATCTGTTTTAAAAGTGAAGTTTGTCATTTCTGTGCTATTATAGTCACCGAAATGAATTCCAAAAATAATGGGAAATAACAGTAAAAACTGCATAGAGGCTTTTGCTGAAACAGTCAACCAATGTATATTAAGCTGGAATAGGTGTATTTTATATTTCAATATTGAAAAAAAAAATAATAGACATCACCTATAAACTAACACTTAAAACACTGGAAAACTAACAAAATAAAACAAAAACAAAAATTAGTCACCACAGAGATTTATTCTATGCATGCATCAATGTATAGGCCCAAATTATTCAGCGATTATGTTTAAGCCAACTTCTAATGTGCTTCACGGTCCTAGTTTTATGTATGGCAAATAAACAGAAATTATAGTGATTTGAAACTCTATCTTAGGAAGTCTGTTGCCTTTTTGGTCTTTTACTGAAACAGTATATAATATGAACTAATAAAAACAGTAATAACTGACTCTGCAGTTGAAGTTGACCTTTCCAGTGTTTATAACAATCCATCAAGTTATCCGCAATGTCTTATGTTCTCTCTTTTCAAAGGCTTCTGAACTTTGATCCTTCCCCATTAACTCTGCCATAATCCCAGATGAATATTCTAATATATCGATATGAGTTCAAACCCTCTCACTTTATGTTCAATCAGAGGAATGCTTTTCAAAACATCACTCCCTGCCAAACTGAAAATGGAAGCCAGTCAGCCATGAAAAATAAAGAATGCAGGAAAGAGAGCAAGTATGTGACCAAGAGATGCAGAATGGAAGAAAAACACAAGAATTATGAAGGTATTTTTTTTTTCTGTTTTGTTTTTACACCCAGAATTCCAAGGATCCTGCGAGTTTGCTAACTACATTACTGGGAAACAACTTACTGGCAAATACTGGCACTTTTCTACAAAAATCATTATTTTTACTCCAAAGAATTCTGAAATACACTGAGTAAAGAACACAGTAAACATAAAAAGGCCAGTTTATAGTTGTACATTCTTTGTGTGTACTTTCTCACTTGTATGTGATTTAACAATTATGTTTATCAATTTAGCAGACGCTGTTAGCCAAAGTAACTAATCAGGAACAGCACAAGCAATGTATCATTAGACCCAACAATATTTACTACACTGAAACGCCAAGTTTCAAGTGTAAGCTATAGTAGCTAAAGCAGAAGTGATGGAATGCAAAAATGTACACCACAGTTCAAAAGTTTGAGTTTAAGATTTTGAAATGTTTTTGAAGTCTCTTATGCTCACCAAGGCTGCATTTTCTCACCAAGGCTGCAGTTCTTTTGAATATATATATATGTGTGTGTGTGTGTGTGTGTGTGTGTGTGTGTGTGTGTAAAAAGTATTATTACTTTACCATTTAAAATAAGCTTTTACAATTTAAAATAAGTGTTTCAATTTGAAAATATTTTAACTCAGTTGTGTAAATAGCAAAGCTGACTGTACAGCAGCCATTACTCCACTCTTCAGCATCACATGATCCTTCAGAATCAGTCTAATATGCTGATTTGTAGCTCAAGAAACATTTCTTATTATCAGTGTGGAAACGTTGAGTTTTTGTGGAAACTGTGATTCATTTGTTTCAGGATTCTTTTGATGAACAGAAAGTTCAACCAAACATCAAACATCTCAGCATTTAGCCAACTCTAATACATGGATATTTTTTCAGTATTGCAATCCGTTCATTTTAACAGCCCCATACTGCAATGTACGACAATATGCACTGCACATGCTACATACTAATTTTTACTCCACGCCTTGATATTCTGCAAAGTCTGTTTGGTCTGTTTCCCAGGTTCTCCTAGTTCTTTGGCTGCTGCTGCTGCCCCACAGCAGGTTTATTTAGAGGAGGTCTTTCTAGCAGGTTTAATAACCTTCTGAAGCCCTTTTCCGACCATGAGTGTTCTGAGGATTTTTCACTGAATGTGTGTGTAATTGAGAGCAGACGATGAGGGGCCTGTGGCCCCTGCGTGTTTCCACAGTGATGTCAGCTCTGGCGGTCTGTGGGCGATGGGGAAATGTGCGGCAGAGCGGAATGTCTGGGAGGACACACTCTCGCTGTAGGGTTGTATTGTTTCCTATATCTTCTATTATATCTCTCATTGTCTCAGTGGAACCCCAACAAGTTCATCTCTGACGCATGCTTTTGTTTTATCTCTACCTTACTCTGTTTGAAAAGAAAAAGCCGAGTAGACTATTACACAACAATTGACAATTGTTTGGAAAGAGCATCTTGTCAAATTAAGGGCACTTATGTTTGACTGCCATGAGGCTGTAAATCAGCTCCTGTTTGGATATTTGTGTTCCACATACTTCACTGTAATACAAGATATTATTCCACTATACGCACAAGTGGGATTAGTGAAGAAAATTAATACATACAGCCAAGCTTTTGGTATTCCCTTAATGTGACAAACCCCCTCAACTAAGCAGAGTGGAGCAGACCTTAAGGGAAACCAGTAAACACTGTCTTAATTACTCTCTCACTCTTGTTTTTAAATTTAAATATCTCATTAGGCTCTCTGTAGACTGCAGAGCTCAAACTGTAACAGGCATTTAATACACACACACAGACAATATGCAGATGAACACATGCATCTAGACATGCACGCGCTCCCAGCGTGCAGCACATATCATCTTCCGTTCCTGCCCTGACCCATTTCACCATGCTCTGGATCTTTTGCATGAGAGGATGCAGGAGATAAATGCCAAAATCAACATCAGTTATAGCTGTCATCATCTAGCAGCCAAAACAGCTGCAGCTTTGAACAGCACTGCTGCGGCTTCAAACACGGGACCCTTTAAAGCACAGCTCTATACAGACTAAAGGCCAGGCTGTTTATAGACCACACATAACCAGTACAATGACCTCTGCGGAGGATTACATGAACTAATACATGGTTATTAAAATGTGGAGTGATGCTTTGCTAGTGATAAAAACATGGGGTGCATGTCTATTTGTGTGCATGCAAGACTGTTCTCACTTTTAAAAAGGGGAAATGGATAAAGGTTTGATTTGGGGGAAAAAATCTTTCTTGATCTATTAAC